TAAATTTTTTAATGTTAAAAAAAAAAAAAAAATACAATCGTTTTATAGGTCCCACCGAGATTTGAACTCGGATCGCTGGATTCAAAGTCCAGAGTGCTAACCATTACACCATGGGACCATTCATATTAAACGTTTCTATTATGTGGATTTTGTGGTCCAATTAATTATTTCAATATTTATAGATATATTAATTTGTATGTTTCTGTTGAATTATTTATTATATCAAAAAATTGTGAGTTATATTTATATAGTATATGTTACATTACGTATTTTACATTATATATTAAATAAATATATCAAGAAGTATATAATAGGTTAATATTATAGTGTAAATATTACACTTGTTTGTTATTATTTATATATATAATTTATATTATATATATATATATATATATATATATATATATAGTTCAATTTCAATAAAAACTATGTGACTGTATACAGTCATCAATAAACTATCTTCAACATAAACTTTTTAATGATTTGCAAGTTTTCAATAAAAATTTTTTAATTTTTAATAAAGGACATATGAAATATTTTAAGTTGTTAAAATAAAGTCTTTTTATACGAGGATAATAAAGATAATAAGAGAGGCCTAAATAATAAGAAAAAAAAAGAAATCGGAAAAAAAATTTAACATTGTTTCATACACAATTAGAATTGTTTCAAATTTATTTCCATACTAAAACATTTTAATAATAATTTTTTATTTACAAGTAATAATAATCTCAACAAAAGAAATGTTTGGAAAAAGATGTATTTTTTCCCTAGAATTATTTTTTATTTACTTAGCACTAATTGCGTACTCGTCGTTATGTTTGTTACGTATAATATACAGATATTATAATATTTACATTTAATACTACAAAAATATAAGCATAATAGTTGCAAGAAAAATATAATTACATACTTTGAAACGAAATGTAGCACTTTTGCAAAATTAGTAATTTGAGATAAATTTTTGCTGTATTACCATTCGATTGCACATCTTCACAAATGTATATGTACATAATGGTAAATACAAGAAGGGATTCATTCAGTCGTATTCAGAATTTATTAAACAATCAAACATACGTATAATATTGCACTTATCAAAATGTCGCAACCTAAAGCGATCGTCTAGTCAGGATAGGTATACCGTTCATGTTAGCATGACTGAAGATAGAAAGAGAACAACAGACGGAATAAAGGGGCAAGAATAGAATTGGGTTTGGCAAGCGTGGTGATTTTACACCTACCTTTTAACCGAACCGTGGCTGTATTGTATTGTATTCATTTTAACGATACGTATCATGCTTGGCCCAACTGGTTTCCCTAAGAAGAGTGTATTTCTATTCTACATACTGTTGCAACACTTCATCATTGCTGTGAAACATTTATCTAACAGCATCCTTTACCGAAGCTAGTTCCCAACAGATTACAAATATCAGAAATATGAGATTACAGACAGTCGTGATACGCGTGTCGTAAAATTAGAACGTACTACGGTCTGTTAAATATTTCTCAGTTTTCAACAACCATGTATCTCTTTTGAGAAGTAATAGACTTTTTTTAAGAATGACTTAAATAGATCACCATCACTATCGAAGCGCGATGCTGAATATCATATTATTATGTTGGATATGTTGGCTGTTTTGGGCGGGTCTTCCAACACTCACGGCCTATCCTGTATCATCCTCTGTGCGAACGGGTATGTTAATTGCATATTTGAATATCTATTTCGATAAAGCTGCCAGTGAGAGGTTATTTCGTTTGTAACAGATCTGCCATACTCCTATGCTTCATCAAAATGGGAACGATATTGGATACAATATATCCTTGGCCTTTTGAGTGTTACTGCTACAGCATTTACTTTGGTTGGTTGCCTTTGTTGTCGAAGACCTAGAAGACCCAAGGGATTTCAGGTGATTTATTATTTGTTATACGTAACAAATAAAAATCTCTAATAAACTCTTTATTATGAGAGTAATGACTTATATGTTACTAATTATAGGACAAAGCAGGAGAGTGCAATCAGGTAAAATTAAAGTTCTTAGAGTTAAGAAGATCATTTCATTAGAAGATCATATCAAAAAGCAAAGAAAGTTATAATCATTCTTTTCAAATATATATTCGATATTATATGTATGTGAATATAAACAAAAAAAATTTCATTTATATTTAGTACTATTTGTTTTAAATATCAACATTGTTATTCGTCAAATTATAAAAGTTTAAATAATTTTGACAGAAAAAATCATTAATATTTGCTTATTATATAAGTATATAAGTATATCACGAAATAACCATATCATTTTTTTTATATAAAAAGAAAGTAATAAATGTATCGTATATATTTTTTTCTTTTTTTAAATATTTAAATATAGATGCATGTGTATGTGCTAGTAATTGTAGTATTGAATATAATTTTACATACTTTAATTTGTTGTTTTTTAAAATATTTTTTTTTATTTTTCGTGACAGAATTTAGAAAATATAATTGTGGTTTTATGTTATAGGAATTCAAAGATGGAAACAACATTGGTCAAGAATCAGTATTTGAACATTCTTTCGAAGGTTTGGAATTGAATGTTCCACATATGTTAGCTATTTCAGAGAGAGTACAATTTGAACCTTTGCCTGTAGAGCATATTATATCTGGACCTAGAAATGTTTCAAAACCTAAACCATTACCTTTATCAACGTCTTTTTTTGAAGAACATGATTCTGATTCTAATACTCTCCCGGAACATTGTCATGAGTGGTTTGATGCACAAGACTTATGCATACCTAGAGAGAAATTAAAGTATTTAAGAGAAATTGGTCATGGTTGGTTTGGAAAAGTTGTTGAAGGTCGTGCAGACTTAGAAGGTCACAAAAGGACTTCTAAAAATGGTGGTGTTGTTGTGAGAATTCTTACAGAAGAAGCTACTATGAAGGAAAAGGCTTGGTTTCTTGGAGAGGCAACTCCATATTTAAAACTACATCATCAAAATATCTTGGCTTTACTGGGTTTTTGTTTGGAAACTGATCCATATCTGTTATTATTTGAATCATGTCCAGCAGGTGATCTTAAAGGTTTTTTATTATCAAATCATGATAAAAAATCTCAAGAAGCGCTTAATAAAGAAAACATCCCAATTCGAATGGCACTGGATATTGCTGCTGGCTTAAAACATATGCATAGTCATGGATTTGTACATACAGATTTATCTGCTAGAAATTGTTTAGTGGCATCAGATTTGTCAGCAAAATTGGGAGATTATGGGACTGGTGTAGAGAAATATCCTGAAGATTATTATGTAGTTGGAGACCGTGCATTGCCTATTAGGTGGTCAGCACCAGAAAGTGTAGAGTGTACTGATACTACTATTGAAACAAGAGAAATTACATCTCAAGCAAATATGTGGAGTTACGCTATTTTTCTTTGGGAAATTATTACATGGGGAAACAGACCATACCATGATAAGAGTGATGAACAAGTAATTCAAATGCTTTTACCTTTAAGAACTGATCTTTTATTAAATGCTATACAAGTGTTGCAAACATACCTAGAAAATTGTCCGTCAAACATATATCAAGCAATTCATTTATGTTTGAATTTAAATTCACAGAAAAGACCAAATTTGGACGAGATTAAGCAACTCCTTTTGAATGAATATACTGAGTACTTGGATTTTGAACAAAGGTGGGAGAATTTACGAGTTAATGCTAAACATGTTCGAAGTGCTAGTTTACAAGATCTTCGAGGAAGTATTGATTCAGATTATTGGACCACTATTGTTGATGATACGCCACGACAGTCGTCATTTCGACTCGGACCCAATGAACTAGTAAAAAATGTACCAAATGTTAAAAATATTATTCATCATGAATCTAGTTCCGAAACTGAAGAAGAAAGTTGGAAAGGACGAATTGAACAAGGAGTTTATACAGAGAAAGTCAAACAAAAATCCAAATCTGTTACTGATTTAATGGTACTTGTACATATCGATTTTGATTCTGATGCAGAATTATCGATGGGTGCTCAAATGTCGGAAAAATATGGGAAAAAGAAATTGCCCGCTACCGGCAGTGATAGTGATCTTAGACACAGCCTCCATACAGATGAATTTGATGAAACATTAAGAAAATTACGCGATCCTTTGCCAAATAATACTTGTAATAAAATCAAAATGCTAGATATTTCAGAAAAGCCAAAATTATTGACATTAACCATGGATCAAGCTCAAACTCCGATTTTGAGATTATCTTTAAATGATAAAGAATCTGATATTAGACCTATTGCAAATGCAACTACAGAAATACGTAATGAAAAACATGTATTAAGACTCTTATCAAAAGGAGATCCTAATCTTCCTCTTTTACGTTATGTACCTGATGACACATCATGTGAAATGCTAAAAGAAAACAACAAATTCCAATCTAATGATACATTTAATTATGAAAACAGCAATAATATTTGTTTTCCTAATAACATGTCAGTTACTTTTGGAACTAATGAAAGCAATGTAGTTGATGTTGCACTTTGGAATCATGTATTAGATTCTGCTTTAGAAAAAAAGGTACCTGGTTTCTTGGATGAAGGTGAGTTTAATGAATATATAGAATCTTCATCTAAACAAGAGAATACCCCATCAAAATTAACTGTAACTACTGAATCTATGTCAGATACTTTGCAAACTCAGAAACACTCTACATATAATGCAAGTGATAAATTTTCTAATGAAGAAGATACAGATATAAACAGAAGATGTGTACCAAATGAAGATGAAGAAGAAAGAAAGCAATTATCCACACCTGATGATGAACAAAGTTCTGATTCTGGATTTAGAGATAAAGAATCCTGTGAAGAAGAAGAAAATGTTTATGCTTTAATTCCTTCCACCTCTACTGATAATTCTACAGTGAATATACCAGCATGTACTGAAGAAGAACAGTTACAAATTTTATTCGAACTGGATACTATTCTTGATGCAGAATACTATGCAACACTTCCTAGTTCTGAAAAAATAGTAGAAAATTTAACTTCAATTAATCATACAGAAAATAAAATTCTTTGTATGAATGAAGACGAATCTGATTCTATTCATACTATAGACACTATAGTTGAAATAGAGAATAATGAAAATACTCCTAATATTAATTTAGTAGAAGATGATATTATTAAATCAGTATCAGAAAATAAACAAGAAATACAAACAATAAATGTTACTGAAACTATGGAACTAAAAAATTCAAGTGATATCAATTCTCTTTCTCAAGAAATAGATTTACAACAACATAATATAGAAATAAATGTCAAACATTTCAAAGAACAAGATGGATTAAAATATTTACAAAATAAAGATGAAAATGAAATTGAAAATAAAAATGAAAATGATATTATTATTAATAAAAGAGAATTTGAAATAAATGAAAATAAAAATAAATGTGAAAATAATATTGAAAAAAGTGAAGAAAATGAAAATGTAAGTGTAAATAAAAATAAAGTTGAAGATAAAAATGATGAAGAAAATGAAGGTAGAAGCGGCAAACATCATATTGAAAATAGTAATGAAAGTGAAAATGAAAAAGAAATAGAAAAAAAGAGTGAAAACGACATTGAAGATGAAGATAGTTCTACAATGAGTTTACGTAGTGATAATTCTTATGTATCATTTGACATAGAAGAAGAGTTTGTAACTGCAATTCGAAATGAGCTTAGAGAGAAATTGCCTTGTGCGCAGATGTCTGTTGTAGAACCATTAGAAGCTCATGATGATGATAATCCTTCTATATCTAGTGATATAGATTGTAAACATTGGGATGATGATGATAGCGAAGATTCTTCTAATCAAGGTAGTGGAGGAGTGGGTATCTCAATAAGGTAACTTTTTACTTCTTAACAATATAAGATTATTTAGTAATAATTATAGTTTATTATTCAAAAACAGATGTAAAGGTTTATCATTGTATTTAGGTATAATGTGTATGATTCTCCACTCAGTCCAATCCAAGAAGAACGAGAAAGTACTCTGACTTCAGAGTCTTTAATATCAAATTCTATAGATACATCAATTGCTTCAAAAGAATCTATTGCTTCAGATGACGTCTTATTAGTTGATACTCGAACAAATAAAATGATTTTGTTAGAAGGATTAGGAGAAAAACTGCAAGATGATGAACGAGATACAACTAATGGAGATTTATCTGAAGAAGAAAATTTGGATTATAATTGTTCGGTAGTTCGTTCTTGTGATGATAAATCGCATATTATGGTTGCGAGTGGTGGAGCACCTTTACCAAGTCCAGAAGAAGAAACTAAATGGCAACAATTACCTCCATCATTTCCGTTACCATTGCCTCTACCATTAGAAGATGATTTAATGTCAACAAGTTTTGGAACAGAGCATGAATGGGGTAGTCAGGATGAAGATGATGAAGAAGAAGAGGAAGAAGATGAAGAAGAAGAGGATGAAAACAATAGCTCTAGTTCTGGAGAATTTGTCTGGAAAGTAAGCATATTATAAATAAAAAATCAAATATGTTATATGTAAATTTATTTTTAATACATGTAATAATTTTATATTGTTTTATAGAGATATAATGAATCCCATGTTGAGCAAGTTCAAATTCGAAGTGTAAGTAATAATGAAGAAGCAATAATACATGCTGATGTAGAGGATGAAATGGATGTAGAGGAAGAAGGGGAGGATGAAGAAGAAGAGGAGGAAGAAGAATTTACACCATCAGCTTGGAATGCAACATTAGAGCCTCATCGTTCTGCATTAAGATCTCCAGATAAAACATTAAAATCTAATGTAAGATTTATAATATTTTTAAATTTAAATATTTTAATATTTAAACTTAACATAAATATTTATATTTGTTTATATTTATTTTTGCTGCTAGGATGAATCGGTGAGTATTTAGCAGTATTTTTTTTATATAATATATTATATATTATAATAAACTATATAAACATAGTGTAATAAATTTAGTTATATTGATAATATATTATTTGTTAGGATCAAAAAAAGAGTGTATGGTTTAAGAAACAACGCTATCACTGTGTATATGAATATCCAAAGGAAACAATGGCTATAGAAACTCAAGGAGAATCAACTACTACGTGGGAGCCAACTTCATATAGTGGTAAGCTCTTTAAATATTTTGAAGTTATAAAAAAAATTATATTTAAAAAATACAGAATTTATATATAGAAAAGTAATTGAAAAATAAATAATATATAATTTTTTTTTATTTTAGATTGGGAGGAAATGATAGATGAACCACGATTAGATCTATATTCTCTTGATTATGATGATACCAATCATACTGGTATACTTTAATATTATACATATATTTTTATATAGTTAATATGACATATGTGAAACATTTATAAACATGTTTATTTTATCTTATATTATAAAATTTATTTTGATTATAGGAAGTGAAGAATTTTTTGTGAGCAGTTCAAATCGTCCGTTTCAATTTCAAACTAGCGAAAGTAAATATGTAAGTCAATTCTTTCCTGGTGCATCTACATCAATGACTGAAGAACGAGATGAAATAGATGGTGATCAACAAGGAATACCACAAAACGGAATAGACTTGTTAAGTGATTGTAGTCAGAGTCAACAATATCAATTAGGAGAGCTGAGGCATACTAGAGATCGCTTAAAATTGAATTTATCTATAACTGACGCATCTTTTGTTTCTATTAAACAAACGAAAGAGGATAATGTAGAGCATGATACAGAAAACGTGTCAGAATTTTCAGAAAATATAGACTTTACGCAGGACCAACATATTCTATCAAACTCCTCGAATTACAATATGTTACCAACGGTGCCTCCCAAAGACATTCAAGAAAAAAAAAGTCTTGATCCGACTTCTTCAAAAAGTGCCCAATGTGATAGTCAACAAAAGATTGAACCTGTCGACAAGTGTAGTGTTTTGACGCAGAACTAATATGTTTCAACGATAGTAAAATGTTAAAAAAAATAATTTAGCTGAAGTCCGTCCGAAATAATTTCGTTGCAAAAATATAGTGACTACTCAGAGTTCACTATTAATTGAATCTCGAATTATTGTACATAAGATGTAGCAAATTTTTATTATGGCTGAGATTCAATCGATTGTCTATAGTATTATATTAAATTTTGGTTTGTATAGAAACAGTAATATAAATAGAGCTTAATGTTTATATAATTTTTGATACGATTAGCTTCTCGACGACAAAGAAACGAAAATGTTAATTAAATAGCAGACAATCGATTTTTAAAAGCTACATCAAAACTATTGAATAATTTCGTTTCGTATCTGTAAATATTTATTAAACGTCGTTCAGTAAATAATCGTTATCAGAGAAGTAGAAATTAAGTTAATGTTATTACTTTCATTGATGATATATGATAATTATTCATACTGATTTTTAATTGTTGTTATTTTTAAATATGGTATCTTCTTTGGTATTAAAATCATATTAGTAGAAAAAACAGCTCTCTACTCAAAGTATTATAGTGTCAATCAAGGGACGGTACTATGATCAAGTCTCAATATTTAGCTAAACGTGTATAGCGATTGATGCACGAATAAGTTTTTATAAATGTGTATTGTATCGTTACTTTTACTAGAACTGTGATGGGCACAATTTGTGTACTTTTATTTCAGTTAATTTGATGACTCAAATTAGTAAAACTGCAGATAAAGTAGCACAGGAAACAGGCTGCCGTACTTTTTCGCATACTATTTTCAATATTTTTAAATATTTTTGAGCACTTCTTGTAGCCTTTTTAACAATTTTTAATATTTAGATAATTTTTTACAGAAGAATAATATTAGATGAAATATAAGTGCACAAAAAAGAAAGTTATTAACTATTAAATTCACAATACGCAAGTTTATTTGAGTATGAAAATGAACAACAAAAATATGTTAATAATTGTTAATTATTGATATTGTACGATTTTTGCGAAAATATCTTCCAAAGTTTTCATATTGCTACAACAAAACATAACGGCAAAATAGATTAGATTAATAAAAAATATTTAAAAATACAAATAATATCAACATACTCGATACATGCACCAATATATAATTTCATTAACATATGTGAAATCGAAAATGTATATGTTATAACTATTAATGGCACTGCGATTATTATGCAGTTTTACTACCATTACAATTATTATTATCATTATTGATAATGCTAACTCTGTGCTCATTATAATACATAGGATATTAATAGAGAACAATTAATATATTGTTATACAAAGCAGACATTGGTTTAAGCAGAGTATGTGTTTCATTGTTATTATTTCCTATACCGTTATAACACACACACACGCACACATACCGACACACACATTTAGTATTGTTTTACACATTTATACACGAAATATTTTAGTTCTATGTATTTTAATTTTTCACTGATTTTAGTTTATTTTTGCAGAAAATCAGAAAAATTTGATATAGTACTGAATAACATATAAATGAAATAATTTGCTCAAGTTCCAAAAGAAAAAATATTAAAAATTAAACATTAAAAATTTTATTATAAATATTTTACTTATAATTATTTTTATAAAATGTGTTTGTATATTATTTTATGTTTGTACATTATTAAAAGTTTATATATGACGTTGACGGTTACGCCATAAAATAATAAGTCCTTGATGATCCGCAGATGCAAGAAGAGATTCGTCATAATTAAAAGATAAAGCAATTGTCGGTGTAGCATGACCTTCCAGTCGATTGATCTTTGCTGCTTTGCCTTTCCTAGCTGAATCCAATAGATGTATCGTACCATCCTCAGAACCAGTAGCTATTAAACATGTTTCCATTTGTGGGCAAAAAGTAGATCTCACAAAATACTGTCTGCAATAGATTTGTAAATCACATATTTGTTACAATTTTATGAATTTTTTATATTAAAGACATCATTATTTTTGTAATAATATTCAAACTAAATTACTTATGCTTTATTGGATATTTTGTCCACAGGGATAAAGAACCTTGATTGTCGACAATATGATATAATAGTACTACATTACAAGCACTGCTCACTAAAAGTGCCGGCCATGGAGCATCCTTTGAAAGCCATGAACGCCAAGAAAGGCTACTTATCATACCACCAGTTTCTTGTACTCTTTTCAATTTCGTTAATCGTCCTGATGCTGATTCTAATTGAAATGACATAATAACTCCTCTATCGTTTCCAACCCATATTACAGAACCACCACTACCCTCACAAGTTAATGACAAAATCTGAAATAGAGTGTTTTCTTTTTTTACAATTAAATTTTGAAATTTTAAAATTGAAAATAGAAAGTGTCTCATAAAAAGTTCTCACGAACTTATTATACATAAAAATAATTTTAAAAAATATCTTGTTAGGATTATATATAATTAATTTTCTGATACATATTTACCATTATTAAGTTATAGAATACTAACTTTTCCACCAATTTTGCAAGATCCATTGCGAGTATATATACCAGTAGATATATTTAAAATCTGCACTAGTCCTTGAGAATTACCAGCAACAATTAAATTATTATTTATTGGTATAAATCCACAGCATAGAACTTCTGCTCGTTGTTGATCATTAACTACTCTTAAACAAGTTGGGCTATTTTCAGTATTTAGGACATTCCACAGTCTTATTGTACCATCCAAAGAAGATGAAACTATAAGATCATTACTAATACTCCAATCTAATGCAGTAACACCTTTCTTATGACCCTCCAATAAAGCTATTACTTTTGGTGGAGTGCTAATAGCATCACATATAGATAGTAATCCATCCAATGATGCACAGCATAGCTTTGATCTATCATTATTTGCAAATTTAAGCATCATTACAGGTGCATTGTGCTGATCAAAAACATGATGCATTCCATCGAAAGCAAAGCTTTCTGCAATTGATTTTCTTTGTATACTGTAAAGCTTTGTTTTAATTTCAGATTTTTCTTCCTCAGTTGTATAATTACTAAAACTATTTTGTTCCAAGTTTTCGCCATATCGTAGAAATAACAGCTTTGCTCTTAATTTTAAATAATTTTCTCTAATTTTTGGATCTTTGCTAAACTTCTCTTTTAACAACTGATTTCTGCGACGAATATACAGCATCCCTGTAACAATATCACTGATATTACAATATATTGGATTATGAAACATACATACAAACCTAAAGTAGGTAATTTGTTTACACGTTGTGCATTATATTTAGCGTCAAGAGCAAAGACTTGTTGATGCCACATAATAACAATTCTATGTATTATATAGATGTAATAATATCGAATATTAAGTGATTCATTAAAATAGGTATAGTAGTTTAAAGTGAAACGCTACATACACGTTTAACCTATTAAATAACTTGTTTTATAAAAAGATACATAATATAATTTAAAAATGTTTTTATTTGTTATTTTTCCATACATTTTTCTTTTTCGATTTGTTCATAATATGTAATAAAACGCACTTTGCGTCAATTTTCTTGTCTTTCTACTGACGTTTGTAACATTTATCAAAAATATCTCATTAATCGGGACGTTTGACTTGTACTGTAATTAAAAGTTTGTATAAACGTAGTTGATGAAAATTTTACTAGATATATTGTTTTTAAAAGTGTCGAGTTCACTGTCGTTCATTTTCATTCTTCGTTATACGCATGCTGCACGTATATGTGTGTAACTTAAAATACTTGTATATAAAAATATATACATATATATGTACATACAAATAATACTTCTATATTATCATTTGAATTTCATTTCAATTATATGAATTGTTTTTCAAATGTCGCGTTGTTTTCTTTATGTGATATTTTCGTTAACATAAACAAGAAATTGTTAAGACAAAAATTTTTACTGTAATTTCATTTACTTTCATATTGTTAAAATATATTTTAAAATTTATTTATACGCATTCGTGTTCTATTGTAACAAATAACTGATAAGATTAATAATTTAAATAATTGTCGATAATTTCAGAATCAAGCAAATTCTTCTATGGAACTAAATTTGATTAACAATTATAAATGAATTATTTTACAGTGAGTATTTTGTTTCGGTATTTCAAAATTGTGAGTTAATATTGTACTTAATCAAAGAAGTGAGTTAAAATTATATTTAATTAAGTTAACTTTTATTTAAATAACTGAAGACTATCAAAATTATATAGTATTGGTTGAATTAAAATATTATAAACAAGATATATGTATATGTATGAATGTTATAGGGTTTTTTTTAAATACATTTATTCTTAGATATCCATATTTATACACAGTAGTAGCTATTCTTTTTAATAATTATATAATAGCGATAATGGCGCAATGCATTCTGCATTTTTCGATAGATTATTACTTGACAAAAATACAAAAATTATTAATGTTTAATAATCGTCATAACAAACTGTTTGATTTAAATTCTTCGGTTTCGTTTACATTTTTCTTTTTCATTCTCTAGAATATCTTGCATTTTACTTTATTTTAATATTACATTTAATATACTTGTCCCTAATTCATTTTTTCAAACAGACAAACTGTGAAACGTTCGAAAATTTACACTTGTAGAAAACAAAAAATAAAAAGATACATGATTTTTCAATTATTACCAATTGTTCGAATGTTTACATGAGTGTATTTATATAAATATGCGTGCTTTGGATGCATGAAGATGTTTCAAAAATGTTTCATATAAATTTGTTAACTTATTAAAATGTTCGTATGACTAAGATTAATTTTTAATTACTTCAGACGTGAATACAAAAGTAATTAAAAATAATTTTTTCTTTACCAAAAAAAAAAAAAAAAAAAATGAAACATTTATTTAAAATGTTAATTCCAAATCTTAATTGAATTGTGTATTTGTAGTAAATAATGTTCCTTGGAAGAAAATTCGTTTAAAAAACAATACAGAATAGACAATACACAACAATTAATATATAAATTTAAGTTCTTTAAATTGAAAATAAAATTAATCTTCAAATTAATTTCAAAACATTTTAATGACAATATATTTAGTAACCATTTAAAATCATACGTATATTTGTAAAGCTTTTTTTGTATAGCACAATATTTCAAAGTTATTAAGTTAATAGTGTTACACAATAAAGTTTCGAAGTATCCTGTATAGTCAGGATGATCGAATGATCCGTATCCGGGAATGATTTTGTCGACAAAATCGGTCATTTCGATTCAATCCATTAGTTTCAAATCAAAATTGGTAATTTATGGTTACACATTTACATTTTCTTTGTCCTTCTAAAAAGAACTATTCTACACTTGGTCTCCCATGATTTTCAAACATATCTTATCCATATCCATGTTATTCAATTTTGTATATATTTATATATGTATATGTATAATGCAATTGCTAACAAGATTTTACTTACAATTATGTACTTCTTTTTCATATCAGTGGTACTCAGAATAGTTTTGCAATAAAACAATTTATTCCCAAAGTATAATACATGCTAGGTCGTAAGGATTTTAAGAGCGTCTCGTGAAAATACTTTACTCATATCTTTGTTTATTCTTAATGATAGAATTATTTGTAATGATTGCTATCCACAATGCAAAAATGTAAAGTATGCCTCCTAAAATGATTTGCGTTAATTAATATGTTATTGTATTCCTTTCTGTCTGATTATTTTATAACTGTACAATATGTTTCTAATCAGCATAAATAATATAACAGTACGAATATTGTTTTATCAGACGGAATCGACAATTACATTTTCCTCTTTATTATAATCTAATTAAAATGATACAGGACATTGTGAATACTTATTAGCGGTACACTAACATCGACATTTGTTTTTTCTTTTTGTTACATTTGTTAAAAACTTATGTTAATATCAAATTTAAAAAAATGTAAATAGTGCAGGTTGTTCTCGTTTTTTTATGTAATTGAAATTAATACATAATATTGAACGTAAACTTATTCAATATTTAATACTCAATACTTCGATCAACTAAATTTCATTTTTATTTATGTATTAACAAATATTACAATTTTTAAGCAGATCCTAGAAATGAGTATGAATTAAAAGCAAAAAGTAAAAAAAATTGAACTTACAACGTAGCCACATAAGATTATTATTTGAACTATACATTTTGTAAACATCAAATAGAATGTCATAATATGTCTTCATTTTCTTCTATATCCGAAGAACTTCCTTACATTAAAAGTTTCAAAAATGTAGTTTTAAAGCTGGTGTAACTATCCCATAATAGTTATAAATTAATTTTTTATCTGTTTCCAGATGTATTTGTATAATGCAATTACCGATCCAAAAATCATTTGGATTTCATTAAATTTGAAGAGGGCAAACAATACTCCACAAACGAAAACTTTAGAATTGTTATTAAACTAAAGCATAAACTATTATTCTGTAGAAGATAAATTACATGGATGATATAGAGTAATTAGTAAAAGTTAATATATGAATAAGGTAATGTACGTTTTAGATAATATAACTTACAGTATGAAAGGATTGTAAAAAGTTATATGAGAAATTCCTGCAAAAAGCAGATGTTTGAACTCTATTATTTGAATTTTATTCAAGGCACCACAAGAAAATTACTGAATTCTGCTTTGTTTCCTAGTACTTTGTGGCACTATTTAATCTGCAATGCCGCTTTTATAAACATAAAATATATTAAATAAGTACCGTTCTCATTTTGAAATCAACATTCTTTGAAAACATGGTATGACGGTATCTTCTTTTTGGTTTAAAGCTTTTTGTTAATAAAATATAACGTCCATAAATTCTGGTAACTAAAAGAAATGCAAGGCGACCAAATCAAATATATGTATATATGGGTGCGCGCAAGAATGCGAAACTAGTGCGATTATACATTCGTTTTTAAATACCAAAAGTGACAACATTATGATTATGTATTATAACTTTATATACCTGATGTTCCGTGGTTAAATACATACAATAATTGTAATTTACATAGTATAGTTTTACGTTTCATCACGTACGGGGTGCTTTGTTTTCATGTAAAGAAGCACTTTAGATGTTAATGAGCCGAGATGCCTACATCATACAAAAAAACTATCACCCTTTGCAGTCGATGCAGTATATTCGCAATTGCACAGTAGTATACAGATAGGAGATCGGGAGTAAATTTAACAGTCAATTACTCATCTAAGATCATTTTTCCAGTATTTCACACGAGAGCTACTCACAAATCTTGATTTTTCCATTTTTTTTTATAGCGTTTTATAGCATACCATAATAAATTCTGTTCTTCATCTCGACCAATATGTACGATCATTCGTTCCGCAGTTTTATACGTTATAAACGCTATAAATTCATTTGGCACGAATGCGCCTCACGTTTGGAAGAACTATGCAATTTTTCATGCTGCATTTGACTACTCCCTTTTCTCTTTTACGTATTACATTTTGTTTTAAGGAAATATATTTATACATAAATATATATAATTGCATTATACACACCAAAACTTTTTAATACAGTTAATGAATTACATATTATTATAAGTATAATAATAACATGTCAAAAGATTTCTTTATAATTCAACTTAATATTTCAAGATATAAAAATACACAAATTAATACGACTAATTAAAACGAGTATAACGTTTTTTCTAACTAATCACTGCAAGAGATTTATGTGGAAAAGAAATATTACCACCTTGTTAACACAAAATCGTTAAAAATTGCTTAATCCTTCCACATTTTAAGATTCGTTTTATATTTTACATTAACTCGTGTCATACTAGAATTATTTAGTTTCACAAAGGAAAAAAAAAAAAAAAAAGAAAAAAAAAAGAATCGTCTTGTCTCGTGTCCTTTATATTTATGTCAATGTCCTTATTTCACACCACCGTGTATCACAATGGCGAAATGGTAGTTTGTCTAAAATGGTGCATTTTTGTTTTTATTTTTTCTTTTTCTCTGCGCAGTCCAATTCTTAATTACTCCCAGTCCAGTAACTAGGACTATAACCAGGCTTTGCTTGGGCTTTGTTCTGCGAACTTGTATTGGACCTTTGGCCTGTACTACTACCACCATCTTGATGAAGTGGTTGATGTAATTGATGAGGCATAGTTGGGATAAACAAATGCGGTGTTCCGTATGCACCAGGCAACCCAGCATTTTGACTTCCAGTCAGACTAAATGGCGGAGGTGTTGCCGAGTGAAAAGTTTGTTTGTCGTACGACTAAAATAACATTAATTGTTATTCATTTTCGCTGAAAATAATCAATTTTTATGAAATTGATTTTACATGAATACTTACATTAACTTTGCTAAGCGCTACATGACTCTTAGCGTACATTGTGGCGCTTATGTCGGTCGCGGACGATCCACCAGTATTAGTATTTCCAGTAGATGTTCCTGTTTTACCAGTTTGTGTACTGGTATAGCTATTTCCCGCACCTTTGTATTCGGCAGAAGGACCAGCAGATGCTAATGCATCATAACTTGCTCCAGCTCCATATCCAGATCCATAACTTCCTGGTTTAGCACTGTACGCACCACTGTTCGTACCTGCGTTACCAGCAGTTGCTATCTGCTATAATAATTTTAATAAATGAAATATGAATTTTTATTAGAATATATATTAATGAAGCAATACAGTTTTAATCCTATAATTTGATAAACTTACAGGATAAATAGCAGGAGTTCCATATTGGAAGCCACCTGGCATTATTCCACCGCCATATGC